ATCTGTACCCAGTAAATTCACGCCATATCCCACCCTTCAAACCGAAACACAGCCATGCAAACACAACTGCTTCACGGTTGAAACACGAATAGGACAGATGTACCCAAGCAATCGACTTTTGTACAAACTTTGATAAAATAAGTACTCACACTTTTATGATACCTATTCTAAAGTACCAGAGGTACTTTAGAATAGGTATCATAAAAGTGCTAACTATAGTAGCTCTTCAGTAGCTTTTAAAGTAGCTACTTTACTAGTATAGTGTAAAAAAATCGAATTCAATAAACTGGTCGCATAGAGTTTATACAAAATACATTTATACTGATTCTTTGTTCGAAGTGAAGCCTGCCTGCTGCTAAAACAAACTTGTTTTTTTTTACTAGTAGTTGTAATGTTCAGCTTGGAAATAAAATCACATCATACAATAACATATGATGAAATGTGTGGTTTAAAAAATTAAACGACCATAGACAAGAAATATAGCGAAACGTGATTCGCGCTTCACCGGGTTTTTTATACTTTTGTCCGTTTATCTGACTGTGATAACCTCCAGTGTACATGATATAATTTAATTAAACCTAACACGTAGTTAAAGTTAATTACTATACTCTTGTATATCTATAACTTTTAAAGTATAGAAAAATATTAATATATAAAAATACCATGTCACATTTTTCTACGAGTATCATGCTAATTTCCGTAACTGCTCAACAGATTTTAATAGTGTATTGAAAATTTATATTATTTGCTTCAAATTGAGAAATAGTAGGGTAGTTTTTACCTGAATGAGAATAAACTCTTTACACATTTATATTGATATTTTTGCTGAAAAACTACGATGTTTCTACGATGTCAAAGATAATGATTTAAACTTAATCCAGTCTTATTTATCAAACAGAATTCAAAAAGTTTAAGTAAATTGTGTTACATCTAACGGGTCATTTGTGCGAATGGGTGTCCCTCAAGGATCTATTCTTGGGCCATTCTTATTTTTTATCTATATAAATGACCTCGCTTTTGCCATGCAGGATAAATGTGGCATAGTACTGTTTGCAGATGATACTTCTTTATTTTCTAAGGTTGATAGATTGACTAAACACTATGTTGATGTAAATAGTGCTTCGTTACGTCTCTTGCATTGGTTTACAACTAATAATTTAATGTTGAATGCAAATAAACTAAAACTAAACTAATGCATAAAATTTTTAGCCCACTTCTAGATGGCATCAAAATAATTTATACGCCAGTTTAGAAGTTACATCTTCAGAAACATAATAGTGAAAATCGTATTCAGTTTGATGCAGTGATACCGGAACAATCATATAAATAAAACATATATATAAAAATGCTTGTAAACAAGTCTATTTGAATAAAGATGATTTGAATCGAATTGTATAATAAAAAAAATCTATAAGTTTACGGTTTTCGGATATTTCCCTTTAATTTTGTTACACGCCATTGCTTCTTACCAAATTTTACGATTCTGGGTCAACGGGAAGTACCTTCTCACTCCCTTGCAAAAATATCAAAACGCGTTATAAATGATCGTATCTTTTGACTGCGCTGATATTTGAAGATTTTCTTTTTATACAACTTAGAATGACAAACAAGCTGACGGCCCACCTGATGGAAAGTGGTAACTGTCGCCTATAGACATGAGCAGTACCATGGACATAACAGAGTATTCTCTTTCGTCCATGATACCCCTCATACGTTGCCATTCCTGAGGATTCAGGTGTTATTCCTATGTACCCAGTAAATTCACGCCATATCCCACCATTCAAACCGAAACACAGCCATGCAAACACAACTGCTTCACGATTGAAACACGAATGGGATAGAGGTACCCAAGCAAATGACTTTTGTACAAAGTCTCCCTCTGGTAAGATTTCACAGATTCGAAGCATTGCAAACTTGTCATCATCAACATCATCATATGATCCGTTAACTATCCAATGTTAAACATGGGCGAAGGGTTTATTAGTAATGCGGACTACCAGTCCCATTTCTAGCAATATACCCTGTCAGTTCGACTTCCACGTGGTCCCATCTGGAAACCATCGTGCTAAATTCCAAATGTGTTCATCGCAATGGTCTAACTGACCTGCCTTTTCATTCTCATCTATCCTTCACTGGTGCCCCGCCAGCGTATACCGTTAGCGCAGACGGGGTTACTATTCCATTATCATGTATTAAAAAAAAAACTATATCTCACTCGTGTTTCTGTCGTGATGCAAATGTGATTATACGGCTTCGATTGTGGTTGCGATTTGAAAAGCGGGAATTATGGTTTGGAAATTACAGGGTACGGAGATATAACACCAGAGTCCTCAGTGATGGCAACGCATGAGCATCACAGTATATTCTATGGTATCTATCTATGTCGGTGTTTCCCAACGTGGGGCCCACGCCCCACAAGAGGGCAGTTTGATAGTTAAGAAGGGGCAATTAAAAAATGGACTTGAAGCGCTTTTAACCCTCTTGCTCCGAGCCATTTAAATGCAATGCTACGAGTAGATATCGATGTCAAATTTACTAAAAAAAAAAAGTAAATAAAAAAATGCTGTAAATATTTAATAGGTAAAATTTCGTTTGACGTTACCAAAATATCAACTGGACGATTAGAGTCGTCAAGTAAACTTTGTCGGGAAAAATTATGTATGGGGACATAGAAATTTTAGAAATGTTCAAGTGGGGCGTGACACAAAAATGGTTGGGAAACACTAGTCTATGTGCATATGTTCTGTTCATGTACATAGTTACCATTTTCCACCAGACGAGCCGTTAGTTTGTATGCCATTTGGTATCATAAAAAAAAATATAATAAAGTCGAACTGCTGTGAATTTGAATTTATACATTTTATGACGACATTGATATGAAAATGTTTAGGAAATATTTGTAAGTATATACATATGGGTAGATATGGCCACCGTAAGGCCAACCGGGTCATCGTGTTGATAAATAAAATTCAGCAACCACGAATCAAAGTCTCATATCGCGGTTTCGTGCAATAAAAAATGGAACAGTTCAATTTTCAACCGAATTTAATAAGATGGAGGTTTTCGATTCAGTTGTATTATTTTTTGTGTTTGTTACCCCATTACTCTGTCAGTTGTGAACCAATTTGGAAAATTCTTTTTTTTTTTACTGAAAGGATATATTTTTTTTATGCTACTTAGAATGGCTAACAAGCTGATAACCCACCATTTCTTTTAACGTCTGGAAAATGCTTTATGCAGACCCATACACCTTGTGGGAAGTGAATGGGTACTGTGGGAATCCCCCCGTAAGGTTGGGATGCACCCACAAAAACCAGACGATATATCCGCGAGGTGCCATATGTCAGAGACTTTTCCAACGGTAAGCTGATAACCCACCTGATGGAAAGTGGTAACCGTCGCTTATAGACATGAGCAGTACGATGGACATAAGAGAGTATACTGTTTCGCCCATGATACCCCCCATGCGTTGCCATTCCTGAGGACTCAGGTGTTATTCCTCTGTACCCTGTAAATTCACTGCCATATCCTACCGTTCAAACCGATACACAGCCATGCAAACACAACAGCTTTACGGTTGAAACACGAATGGGACAGAGGTGGCCAAGGAAACGACTTTTGTACAAAATCTCCCTTTGGAAAACTTGTTATTGGCTATTTAAGTATGTGAACAAATTATTGTTATTTTAAACTATGTATGGTAAGCTGTTGGTTTTCTAAAAAATAAATAAACAAGCGGAATTTGCATGATTATCACTTAGGAGGTATTTGTCAAATTAGCTGACTTGTTTTTCTGATGTATCTTGACGTATCTATATTTAATTATTTAATAAATAAAATATGTTTTTACACGTTAAAAAGATGCAGAATTTATAATACACAAAAAATGTAGAAGTTATAAAGGAATCACAACTATTTATCACGCAAAATTGTAATGAAAAAGTTGAACCGCTTTTTTCGAAGCTAGTGAAGCGAAGATAGTGTCTCCATACAAATGTATGGAGACACTATCTATAGAATCTAAGTTCACAACAAATCTACTTAAATAAAGAGAATAAATGACTACAGTCATTGCCAAAAAATGATAATTCGGTTAAAATTGATAAAGAAAACGAGTGATAGACATTGAAAAAAAGAAAAAAAATAACTGTACGTTTATAACGTACAGTTAAATTGGTGGTCATGTTTTGATGTGAACGTAGGTGATTACATATACATATGTATAATGGGAATTTTATGAACTTACTACGTTTATTATTCCTAATAATTTTATCTTATTCATCTAGAAGTTTTATAAAGGAAAAAATTTAAGGGTAAAGTCGAAACATTGTTCGAAAACGAAAAACACAATTTTTCGGAATGGAATGTGGAGTAAAAATAGGTATCTAATATTTTAATAGCCTTTTTAAAGGTAGAGGATTACCTTTATCTTTAGTACTAGTGTTCGGGTAAAATTTTATAACTATTTGTCCAGCCGCTAATGTATCAAGAAATATCTGGCCTTTATAGTAATTATTGCTTATTACTTATTATTGTAGATTTTTATTTATTTTTTTATTTAATGAATAATAATAAAAGACATTCCAAGTTTGTTTACGAAATAGTCAAGCCAAGTACTAGAGACTACACTATGAAAACAAATTTAATGTAGATATAAATAAATGAAGAGGGTAATTTGAGTAATATTTTACATGAAATGTTATTAAAGAGAGGTTGCAAAGCCCAATTTGAAGCAGGCAGAGATCCCTTTGTGTTACCGACTTTGACAGATAGGTAGGTACCTATAACTGTGTCAAGGTCGGGCAAATTGTGTAGCGAAATTCGGCTGGTGCTCACCAAAACAGAGATTTCAAAACAGTTTATCGCAAAAGACAAGACCCATTTATGTTATCAGTACAAAAAAATATTTATCTAACGATAACAGAGATAATTCAGATGCAATGTGTGAATGTGAGACGAGTTTAAAAAACATATATATATATATATATTAAATTGATTACCTGTCTTACGATCAACCTCGCCACCCTGGGACTGGCGAATGTCACGAAACCATAACACTTGGACACACCAGCTCTATCGTAGATCACCCTGGCAGCTGTCACTGTTGCGAAGCCAGAGAAGAACTTCCACAGGTCCTCGTCGGTGGTGGTCAACGAGAAACCACCAACGAAAATCCTGTTGTGTATAACGGTGCCGAACTTGGGCGCGTCCGATGGCGGCAGACTGTCATCTGTGTCCTCGTCAGGTGAATTCAACAGTGCCTTTAACTTCTCGTGGGGGTCGACACTTTTTCTATTGTTCGCCGTATTTTCCTCGACCATATGTGCGCAACTGGCCGAATCACTCCTAATGTACCTCTTCACACTAGTTTCCATGTTACTATATATCTTAAAACATGTTCCCTTGTTTACTAAACTAAAAAAATCTAGCGGTAACTAAAACAGTCACTAGCGATCAGATGAGAAACTGGTAGTGAGTGAATGCGATAGGTGTCTACTATCGATCCCGGCGTGCTAGGTATAGATAAGTAGACGGGTATGCGTTGCGCTGTAGTCTCAACGGCGTGGACCACGCAAGGAGCCGTTTTTACGTTGAAAAGAAACTTAAGAGTGCTTGGACATTTAATGATGGACACTAAAAATAGTGTTCGAGCTATTGTCGCACGCTATTTTTAATGTTCGAGGCAACTGGGTCGACGTGTGTACGGCTTCGGTGGTTCATATCGAAGTTATCTCTAGTTCACCGTTGTCGTGTACAGATGGCGCTACTGGTCGAGTCCCTAATATTAGTAAACAAATCCGCAAGCACAGAAAATACAATTTAAATCAAAATTTTGAAAAAAATTCATAGCAAATATTAATGCATACTCCACTCGAAAATTAGCAGTACATATTTATAATTTACAAAATAAAAGTAGAAGTCGTAGTCAATTATATTTATACATAAATATAGTAAATTGATACTAAATATGAGAGAAAGAAATAATTTATTGTAGACACGTTGAATTCTAAAAGTATTTATGAAAAGATAATTTAAAATACAATTCCTTATTTTATTCACACTTTATACAAGAGTACCCTTGTATTACGAAAAAAAAACTGGTTTGACACTAGTAGCTTTGTATTGGTACCAACTATTAAATAAATGTGTATAACACACATAATAGTCACATGGAAAATGTTTACTTTCGTTTTATTTAACATTATGCAAAAAAACACCCTTGAGCTCACCCACAAAATTGGCATTATGTAGCACGATTGTTTGGTAATGGCTAGATGGGTAAGATACATTTTTCTTTGATAAACAACACTAGCAAATAGGGGGGAAAGGGATTGTTAGTAATGGAGACTAAGAATCCCATTGCTAGCAATATACCCAACCAGGTCGACCTCCTCGTGGTTCCCCCTGGAAACTATCATGATTAATTCCAGATGAATTCATCATGATGGGCTAACTGGCCTGTTTTCATTCTCAACGATCACCCTTCACTGGCGCCCCGCCAGCGTATCCCGTTAGCGCAGGCGGGGTTACCATTCCATTTTCATTCAATAAAAAAAAAAAAAAAAAACACTAGCAAATAAACAGAACTAATTTATAATTTTTCAAAAAATATTTCAGTTTTTATATCGCAATACAGACGCATCACCTACAGTTATTACTGTTCACTAGCTCGCTATCTCTTTTAAGTTATACAAATTACGTCAAATGCGAAGATTGGAGTCGATGCTGAGACGCTATAAACGTATCTCTTTGACCTAATATTTTCATTTTATTGTTTAACGAATTTTACGATTTTGGACAATCATAAACTAAATTCAATTTTTACTAAAATCGACATTTTGTTCATATTGGGTTTTAGTATAAAGACTTCAAATTAAAATTTCAATAGGTTTAGAAGGGGGAAAGGGATTGTTAGTAATGGAGACTGAGAATCCTATTGCTTGCAATATACCCACCCAACCAGGTCGATCTCCTCGCAATTCTCCCTGGAAACTATCATGGTTAATTCCTGATGAATTCATCATGATGGGCTAACTGGCCTGTTTTCATTCTCATCTATCACCCTTCACTGGTGTTCCGCCAGCGTATACCGTTAGTGCAGGCGGGGTTACCATACCATTTTTACCCATGAAAAAAAAAAGTTAAAAGAAAAATGGCGTCTTAACAACCCGCCGATCTGCAAATATACAAGAATTTGAGATGTTGGCATATTTTTTGCAAGTGCCTTTGTGTTTAGCGTTATAATAACGATGCCAATTGTAAAACAAGTCTACAATTACACCGGAAAAAAATTCTTTTTTTGATAGGTGAGGATGGACGAGACACAGTGAAAAATATTACTTATACGTAGATCACAACGAAACGATAACGCGTTTTACTTTTTTAGTGGCGCCATCTTGTGATACATTATTGTACTTATTTGTCACTACTTGCGCGGTTTTGAAAACATTTTTAATATATGATTTGACTGATAAGTATTAATGTATAGAGTGTTTTTATAATTTAAAGTAGTTAATTTCGTATTGGTACAAATTTACTTTGTTTGACCTGAGGGTCAAACAAAGTAAATTTGTACGAAAATGTGAGCATTTTGATAGCACGTGCAAATTGTGTCTTGCCACTATTAAAAAATAATTGTTGCCACATTCAATTTATATCTTATTCCGCCTATGAATAGGTACACTTTATATATAAATATATTTTTTATTGCTATTGCTTTTCTAGGGATTTTTGTTTATTCACTATTTATTTGTCAGTTTTAGATCATATAAATTTCTATGTATCGTAATAACCGTTTTTGGAAAAATTCTTATTGTATTGTAGCGAAGCGTTTTTTATATTTAAAACTGGAATGATACCTAATTTTATAATGGGTGATAATAGTATAGTAACTCCGTGTGCGCTATCGGTATATGCTAGTGAGGTACCAGTGATATATGACTGATGAGGATGAAAGCAGGTCAATTATCCCATCCTGACTAATGCAATTAGAATTAACCACGATGGTTTCCAGAAAGAATAATGTGGAGATCGACCTTATGGTGGACTAACAATCCTTTTCCCCCCGAATACCTAATACCTAATTAGGCTAACCTAGTGAAGTATGATTGATAAATGGGAATATAAATAATTAGAAGATCGTGACGAATATACCAAGAATTAACCACGATGGTGTTTCGATAAATCCGTGGAATCATTATTAGTTCTAAGGTAAAATAATATTTACGATTTTAGTAAATAATATAATGTGAATAATAATAAATAATACCCAACATATACAATATATATCACCTCAAAGTCCAACATTAATGTTTTGAGTTGTCATCAATGTTTTTAGTTGTCAGTGTCTTTGGCTGTCATGTGTACGTCATTCAATCAGTCTGTGTCAGTATTCCAGATTCGACGTTGACGTGGGTAGTTTACTAGACTTGACGGATTTTTTATTACTGTTTTGTTGATTATTTTCATTTCGTTGTGCAATTTTCATTCTGGATTCGCGATGTACAATAGCAATAATACAAGGACACTGGTTCAATAAAATTCATTTGTGTTGTACTGTGACTGTGTTTGTTGATTTGGGAATTCATAATCGGTATTTATTAGCGAAACTGCAACCTTCTGAAAGGTAAGTTTGTTGACTAAAATGTATAGTAATTGAATTAACACGTTACAATTAGATTTCTATTAATTTATAGGAAATTAACTATTAAGAATCAAGGAGATTGGATTCCAGTTTGTTTTTTATTACCCTCAAATTTGTATTACTCGTTACTTTAAACACACAAATATCGAGTATGTTAAACCGGTTGTGGTATCATTTATTCAATAACTTATGTCTTTATTATATTTATCGATTGCAGTGTTTAAGTTGCAATGCTAACTGATATTTTCTTATTTAAATGGATGAAATTGGTATTGTATACCATTTAGATTATTGGTATTTGCTGGCAGAGTACCAGTGAGTTATAACAATAGTAGTATAGATGCAGTTGAAATGAGGCCAACAGACCCATCATAATTATTTCATTACAAATCTCTTGTTAAAATTTTCAATGTGAACACATTTGAAATTTTTACAAAAATTTTAAAAAGAGATATAGAAATTTACCTGCTAGAATTTATAGATAGTAAGCCAAATATTTTTGTAATATGAATAAAAAACATATTACGTCAACCCCATATAATAGGGGGGAAAGGGATTGTTAGTAATGGAGACTGAGAATCTCATTGCTAGCAATATACCCAACTAGGTCGACCTTCTCCTGGTTTCCCCTGGAAACTATCATGGTTAATTCCTGATGAATTCATTATGATGGGCTAACTGACCTGTTTTCATTCTCATCTATCACCCTTCACTGGTGCTGCGCCAGCGTATCCTGTTAGCGCAGGCGGGGTTACCATAGCATTTTCACTCATAAAAAAAAACCCCCATATAATAATTGGGATACGGGTGGGAAGAAGAAGAAGGTTTATTGATAGTAATATGGCTGCTAGTAAGTATAGCCATACATATCTGTCACATATGTCTCCCATTAGGGTACGCAGAAACAATAGAATGCCAAATGCTTTAATTTAAACAGATTTCTTTCACCTTTTAGTTATGGATAAGATAAATTGTAATTAGATAATTACTATATATGGAAGTTATTTTAAAAAAAATACATAAAGTGTCTTATTATAGTCTTATATTGTGATCTAATGCTGCTTAGTAGTTTGTATTCACTCAAATTTAAACCACCAGAGGGACACTTTGTACAAAAGTCGATTGCTTGGGTACCTCTGTCACATTTGTGTTTCAACCGTGAAGCAGCTGTGTTTGCATGGCTGTGTTTCGGTTTGGTGGGTGGGATATGGCGTAAATTTACTGGGTACAGAGGAATAACACCTGAGTCCTCAGGAATGGCAACGCATGGGGGGGTATCATGGGCGAAACAGTATACTCTGTTATGTCCATGGTACTGCTCATGTCTATAGGCGATGGTTACCACTTTCCATCAGGTGGGCCGTCAGCTTGTTTGCCATTCTGAGTTGTATAAAAAAAAAGTTAAACTTTTTGAAAAATCCAACTTACGCATTCTTCTTGGCTAAAATTGCATTCTGAATCGGTTGTAATAAAAAAGACTATTAAAAAATGCTTAAATCTAAGTTTACGTGAATAAAAATATTTCTTTATTTCCTTCCTAATAGGGGGTTTCAATCACGGCCATAACAATATTTTTTTAGAAGTTTTGCCTGTATGTCTATATATTTCAGCATTATACAAGTACCACTGTACTACATTGAATACCGTTTTCATTTCATTTGGTTATGTTTCTGAAGGTCTAACTTAAAATTTCATGTATGTCATCTAGAAATCTATTTAATTCGTTTTCCTATATTTGAAATCTACTTTAAGAAATGGCCGGCAAAAAGCTAGATGAAACAATAAATATAAATATAATCCAGGCTGGCCTTAGTTCTATGGGTTAAATATCTAAATAAACATTTATTATTATTATGGTCCTAGATATTGGTGGAGCTAGAACTAAACTTGGATGCGAACAAGTTACAGTGGGCATAGAAAGGTAGTTTAAAAAATGGAACTGTGAAATTCCTAAAAAAACTATGATGTGCGAGGTTTTTTTATACTACTATGGGGACAATGATGAAACGTTACTAAAGTCTAATGGCGGTTGCCAATCTGCCTGTCAAGCATAGCAACAGATTTGGATGGATAGGTCTTTTTTAATGGATGATAATGGAATGGAAACCCTGCTTGTACTAATGGTACACGCTGGAGGGTTACCAGTGAGGGATGATAGGTGAGAATGAAAAGGCAGTTAGCCCAACATGATGAATACACCAGGAATTCAATTCACGATAATTTCTAGGGAGGGACCATGTGGAGATCAATTGGCTTGAATATACTATATTATATTGCTAGCAATGGGACTGGTAGTCCGCATTAAAAACAATTCACCTTCTCCCCACTCCTCCCGTATAGATGGGGTACTTTTTTTTTGTGCTATGTATTGGGTTTGAGTTTCCAAACACTTGCATTTGCGCTTTTTGTGTATGCTCGTGTATGCCAAGGTTTGCAATTGGTTGACTTATCATCATATGGATGGTGGATTTGGGCTTCATCATTTGGATGGGGTACTGTCATAAGAACAAGGACTATGTAGAGGTGACACTCCTGCTAATTCAATATAATATTTGTACCTCTAGTGGTCTGCAAGAATTGAGTTTATTCAGGTTGTGTATAAGTTGTTAAGTTCTATTTGTCGTCGTTACTTCTATTGGTAGGAGGTCGCCTTACTCTACGTTTGTCTATACAAGGTTGCCACTTACAAATATTTTTTTCAGCTGTTTTAATATGAGATCGAATTGAGTTTTATTATTTGTCAATGACAAAGTAGATAGATAGATACTCTTTATTGTTTCCTCGAACGATTACAATAGTAAACTTATTATAAATACAAATAAATACAAGATAAGATTACACTGAGAAAACAATAGGCGTTCTTATTGTTGAAAGTGGTCTCTTCCAGGCAACATTTGGATGGAGAGGAGTAATTATTTAATTAATAATGGAGTAATAATTAAATTTAATTATAAACAGTTTCACTGAAGTTACGACGAAACTATGTTCGTTTTTTTAAAGACATATTTCTATATGTATTGAAATTGTATGTATTATATCTCTATAAAATATGTACAATAATTTGAAATTGTATGTAAACATGTAAATTTTAACTTACTGATACTTAAATAAATTCATATATATTTAAAAATATTAAATCTTATGTTGTTTTATGTATTATCTATTCTTATGTACATGTTGTGTGTGATTAGTAACAAACAAATAAACGATATATCTATCTATCTATCTATCTATCTATAAATACACATTTATACACATACATCTTTATCGTATAAACTGTCGTAAATTATAATTAATTTAGAAAGGATCGTTTACGAACGTTCATGCGTTTCGTAAACAATCTCTGTATTGTCATTTTTGACATTTGTTTATGATATCGATCGCCACACGCTTTGCATCTGTCTTGAGTGATTCTTTGAAAAATAAAGTATTCACATTAAGTACTCGTGTTTAAATATTAAATTGAAATCCAAGTGGGGGGACCCTAGAAAATACGTAACATAAACCATTAACTGTCCACTGTGGAACATAGGCCTTTGATTGCATACCTGAGTATATGATGATAATTTCAACATGATACCTCCACGCGTTCGTCAGAAAAAGAGTCTTGACAGACGGACGGACAACGAAGTGATCCTATAAGCGTTCCGTTTTACCTTTGTAGGTGCGGAATCCTAAAAAAATATAAATAAATAAGACGAATTGAAAATTGTTTCAAAATATTTACATACTCAAAAACCATTACCTCCATCCAAACCCTATTTAGTGTAAATTTATAATAATCAGTGTACTACAATTAGTTTCTCTGGGGAAGTCCTGGCGGCTTCCGGTGTTGTAAACAGCTATACTTGTACAATGACCCAGCATAGAGGCAAGCAATGATTTCTTTTATATCTGTATGCATGTATACTAATATTATAAAGAGGAAAGATTTGGGTCTTTGTATGTTTTTTTTTGTAATGGATAAACTCAAAAACTACTCAACTGATTTTAAAAATGTTACACTTATATAAAGCTACATTATCATAAAGTCATATAGGCTATATATTTTTTTAATTACATATTTCTACTGAAATTATAATAATATAACTCAAGATATCAAATATTTTCCTTTTAAAGTTAACATAAAATACTAAATTTAACTTTCTATCTATCTACCCGTGCAAAGTAGGGGCGGATCGCTAGTATTGATATAAAAAAAAGAAAATAAAGTTGGAGTGAATTAAAAAAAAAGAAGGCACAAGCAGGCGATGGAAAAATCCACCATCGAACGACGAGATCGGAGATGTTTCAGAGATATTTGAATTTAGAACAGACCGGTACGTCACGTCCACGATTCCGCATTCTAAATTCAAATATTTTCGAATACGTTGCTTTGAAACTATTTGAATTTAGTCTATCACAATTTGTAATTGAATTTAGCCTCCATATTGTTAAGAATCGCGCGCTTTTTTCGGCGCTAACCCGAATTACGTACTCACACATTGTCACATGTACAAACGTTACTTGTTCCTGTAGTTGTGATAATTACAAATCATTGTGTTTTTTGTATGAAGTGTCCGAGGTTATTTTTTTTTTATTTGATGTTTCTGTCGCTATTTTTTAAGCTTAAGTTTGTGAATTGTGATTATATTGAATCGGGTTATTTATTATTTTTTTTTTTGTCGGATGAAAATGCATTGATAACTCCGCCTGCGCTAACGGGATACGCTGGCGGAGCACCAGTGAAGGGTGATAGATGAGAATGAAAACAGGCCATTTAGCCCATCATGATGAATTCATCAGGAATTAACCATGTTAGTTTCCAGGGAGAACCGCGTGGTGGTCGACCTGGCTAGGTATATTTCTAGCAATGGGATTTTTAGTTTCCATTACTAACAATCCCTTTCCCCCGTGTTATTTATTACTGATGTTGTCACCATTGTACTTGTTTATTTGCCGAGTGAAATGTACATATTTTTTATATTAATTAGGTCACGGTC